AAAACCATCCATTTAAGCACTGGCACCTCCTATTTTTGAAGAAATGGAGCAAGTTTTGCGCATTTCTAAAGGTCTTCAACACAATGTCATTTCCTTGACTCTTCCATTAATGCATAAACCATCCGGGGGTACAAGTCCTTCTTAACACACTTAGCCAAATTGAAATTGAGGTATTCCTAACGAAACTTTCCCTCTCTTCTTTCCTTTATATTGCCAATGTACTAACTGCTTCTTAAAACTCTAATCATTCTTAAATGTCATACCCAAGCAATGTAACCTTCTCAGCATTAGAATTAAAGACTTTGTACTTATTTTTTCTTCTCTTCCTATCTATGCTCACTGTATTCTCCGATCACTTCCTTCTAGGCTGACTCGGTCCATCAAAATCAACATAGTCAGTCAGGTTGCCAATCCTCCTCATTTACTTCAGCAGGTTTCCTGCAGTTGCTCTACATTTTGAGTTGTGTTGAGCTGTGTAATTTGACCCCCTCGGTTTTCCTTTCTAACTTTTTCTTACTTCTTATGTTTTGTTTATATTTTCTCATTGCCTTCCTTGCTCTTTGTAGCTCCTTATCACTGTTTGAAATCCACTCACATTCCCACTAAGTCATATCATCAATCTTGCGGCTGGCAACAGTGAACAACTCCTTCCTCAAAACATTTGTTATTTCCCTTCTTTAAATAGGTAACTTAACACATTCGCTGCTTTCCACTTCCCCTACCGTTATTTCTTCTTGCTTTCATCAACTCCCTCAGCCCCACTATTTACCCTAATCCTAACAGATCCCAATATCATTAAGCTTCACCACTCCTCTCAAATCCTCGCTCCTGCTGTCTACCCTAAATTCACACCGGACCCTACCTCATTAAATACCATTACAACCCTCCCTCAAATTCCCTCTTGTGGACTTATCATTAACATCTGCCTCACCAATTGCCCTCATTAGTGGTCTTCAACCCACAGTTAGGTCAAATGAGTTCCACTCTTTCCCTTCCACTTGAATTTACCCTTTTGTTCCCTATATATTTTTATCATTCAATATATACCTCTATCCTTTTCCTTTGCGCTAGCCAATTCCCATCATATCAGACAAGGCCCCACTCCACACTAGCCTAAAGCCTTGTGATATAGATGCATTTGACAACTTTATAGTGCATTTGAAAGAAATAGTCCTTAACATAATAACTTCCTGGATTTTATCAATAAAAGAATTCCGAACAAAAGGTAAAAGTATCTACTTCCACCTCCAATCTTAATGCACCCCTCACATACTCTTTGACCATACCTCTCTCATTTGTCATAAAATTCCCCCAAAGAAACATCAAATTTATAGCAATTGCCATCCTTTAAAAGAAAACAACAAAAAATATGCACATCAAACAATAAAGCATAAATGTTTACCCCCCATAAATATTTATTTATTTTCCAGTTTCAACAATAAAGCATATTGTATACAAAAGAACCACAAATTATAGAAGAAATAGATTTTTTCCCCACACCCACTGAATCAACAGAGAGTACACAAACAGTAACCCTGTCCCTTTATTCAGTCAAAAAACACATGCAATCGAGAAGAGAAAACATCAACTATCAACAAAAAAGGTTTCGACATAAAGTTATAGAAACAATAACCCATTTTTTTTTTTTTTTTTTTTTTTTTTTTTTTTTTTTTCTTTCCTCTTTCTTCATTTAAAAAACACATCGTCATCATATCTTTCCTAATCATCAACCATCAATAAGAATGCATCGATTTGCTAAATCAAAAGAAACAAAAAACAAATAAAATGGAAATGTATAAAATGGACTCAAACTGGAAAAGAGTTAAGAAGGAATGGATTTGAAGCACTAACCTTTCATCAATGAAATGTGATTAGTTCCTTCTTCCGAGTCCTCTTCCTCTGCGATTCGTCCTTCTTCTCAATTGATATCATTTAGTATAGTGCTTTGATTCTTTAAAAGACAAGGAATTCCAATTCGGTTTTGTGTTTAGGATGTGAAAATGCGCTAGGGGTTAGTTTTCTCTCTATTTTTGGGAGAGCCTTTGTTTTCCAATTCATTGATTTGAGAGAGAGTTGGGTGGAGAAGTAGCGGATTTTGTTAAGGGATTTTTATCCTTACATTCACATCACTGCTTGAATAGCATCAAATCGCGATGTGTCATGATACTTGGTGTCCTATATTGGCTTCAATTTTTAACAAATAGGTGTGTCCGCATACGTCCTATTCATAATTTCGCAATCACGTAGGACGGTGACACCTTAAAAATGAAAAAAAAAATTAATCGGATTCAAGAGCACTTGATTTATAAATGTTTTCCGTTGAGACGCTAAAAAATATGAAAATTATTTAGAAGTTCAGACGATTAAATTTATAATTAAGCCTTTTTGAAAATTATAAATTTTTTATCTTTAAATTACTTAATGAGTGAATATTTCAGTCCATCATTAATTTTTTCTTAGATTATTTGGAAAGTATTTAAATTTTTTAATATATCCCATTCTTATTCGGTGAATTTCAACCTAATTAAGCAATTAAATGTCATTTTTTTGGTCATTTCAAATTAATAGCAACTATTTTTCAGTTGAACATGCTATTTAACGCCGATAATAGACACTACTAGCTAATAACTATCATTAGTAAGAACAATAAAAAGAGGGATTGCAATTGATCCTCATTTTTGTTAAATACATCCACCAATTGTTGTTATACATAGTTGTTAGTTGTTTTATAATAGCTATTTATAACAACAGGCAAGTGGACTATAAAACAACAATAGTTTATGTATAACGGTAGTGATGGATGTATTAACAAAGAGGGGTCAATTGATCCTCTTATTTGAAAGATTCTTTTATATTACGTGGTTTTAATTACTCGTTGCCCCTCTTATTTCTTTGTTACTTTGGACTCCTTTTTACATGTAAACAATTATAAGTTTGGGTAAGGAGGGAAATTTTTGAACCCAAAAGAAAAATTTTACAGATATAACAGCAGCTAACAGCTTACTAAAATAACAATAATTATTGAAACAATTCTTTAGATTAATGAAATATTTTTATGTCTTCACTTACAAAGGAGGCGTTTTTCAAGGCTTTCTAGAATTGAAGAGCAGAGGAAAGAAAGCCAGTTAGCAAAATCACAAAAACCCTAAGCTTGGTAAGGGACCTAAGGGGCTTTGAGTTTGATTGAGCTAAGAAGAGGTTCCATTGTTTCACTTTCACACTTAGGCCCACATGTCCTGTTCTTTTTGTTGCTCACCAATTCAAATCCTACTTTCCACCTACAACGTTAAATTGCTTGTTTTTGTCTTCACAGAAAGATTTTTGTATGGTCTTTTTTTTTTTCTTTTTTTAATTTTTGTCAAAATAAAAACCATAAAGAAGGGAAAATTTTAGATTAACTTATAAAAATATCTGAAATTAGTAATTTTTAATTCCTAAGTAATTTTTTATATCTTTAAATTTTAATTTAATGGGTTTTTTTTCCGCTTTTTTAATCAAACAAAACTTAAAAAAACAATGTAAGGATTAATTATTAATAAATATACTGGATCTTCTCAAAAAAAATTCTTAAATATCTGAAACTTGTTCTTATATACATTTTGAAAATTAATAGTTATAATCCTTATATTTTTTTATGAGTGAATATCTTGGTCCATCATTATCAAAATTTATACAAATTTTATGGTAGATTAGTTTTTAGTATTTTAAATTAGATTTCACTCTGACCCTTAATTATCTTTAATCTTTAATTACTTTAATTCATGAATAAAAATATTAAATTATTAATCGTTTTTTAAATTAAGAAGGAAGAGATTTACAACTAATGGAATTAAAAAATTTTCTGTACACCTTTTAATTAATTTTTAGAACATTAAGGACCAAAATGTATATTAAAATAATATTTAGTATTCCTTTTGAATTAAACCGAAAAAGTTTGTTATAGTTACGGTACTGGTGTAAATTGTAAACTCACATAATAGTGCCGAGTTTTAAGGCAAATGAAAAACTAATCCCAATTCACTTTTGATTTCTTTTTATCGCCAAAAAACAAACGAGGCCAAACCCTCGCCATTTCGACTGTATTCCTCAGTGCCCAATGCTCCTCCACAATTTGCTTTCTCTCTTGCTCTGCAAAGCTTTCAGGGTCTCTTTATTACTTCCTTTACTAATCCCAGTATGTCATTTTCTCTTCTTTCGTTTATTTGAATTCGCTTTCAATGATCTAAGAGTTTGCTTGCTTCCGCTGCTGATATTTTCTTTTTATTTGTTTTTAGTGGTTCAATTTGTTGGTTTGATGGGGTTAGTTGTTTTTACTCTCAGCATTTTTGTGGAAATTGACTCTTTTTGTTGTTGGGGTTGGGGTTAGTAATGTAGATTATTCTTTATTTTAAGCTCTAACCATTTGAATTTGTTTTAGCATTTTTTATACCTTCATGACAAAAGTCTTTTCATTGCGAATTGTGCTTAAATTTTTTCTGTTTAGGTTATTTTCCTATTTATTTGAATGTGGGTTTGGTGTGTAGTTATATGTCAGGGTTCTTTTTTGCATTTGCTAAATATTGATGGATTTTCTGGTTTTTTTTGTCAGTGGTTTGGAAGTGGAAATATTTCTCAGTATAGAGTTAGGTGTTTTTAAGTGAGTTTGGTGCTTGAAGCTAGTGTTATTATTTCATCACCCATTCAAGATGGCAGCTTTGTGGTGGTCGCCATAGTTGTACAGCTTCTGATACATAGGAACCCAATGGGGATGGTAAAACTGTTCTTGGAGGAGAAGTGTCAGTGGAGAATCACCTGGTGGAAAGTTGGTTCTGCTAAAAATGTCTGATGATAAGAATAGGTACTGGGTGCTGCCAAGTCAAAATTTCAAATTCTAAGTGTTTTGGCAAAGTCTCATAGTGTTTAGCACATATCCAATAAAGACCCGTTTCTTGTTGATCCTTCAATCCTGAACATATCAATGCTTTAGAGGTGAGGGGAAACAATAACAGTACTTACTCCAAGGAAGGATACTCGAGTTGGAACTGTTAACTGATAGCTTAGGAGATGAATCTGGTCCAAGTATATAATGAAGCTAAGATAAAGTTATTGGTGTTGGAGGTGGTGGGTCGAATGGCAGTCAACCGGCAATGATAGAGAGTTCGATGAAGGTGTTGGAGTTTTTGGATTGTCAATCAAGATGTGGCGGTATGAAATGTCGTCCCTGTAAATTTCCCAGAGGAATCGTTTGGAAATTGGTCAGGAGCTGACTAGGGTCTTGGAGCTGGGAGGTAACCCTGAAGATTGGAATGAATGCTGCCAAGAAGCAAAGAAGCAATAGAAGGAAGGCACTTTTATGGTTCTGAATTACTGGTCTTTGTCACAGTAAGTTCACATCTGTAAACATCATAAGTTCTTTAATAATGATTATGTTACACTGATACACCTTTCGCTATCTATATGCTTTTTTAAGGGTGAAAATAAATGTAAACAATCAATGGATTTTATGATGTTGTTAACTGGTAGCTCTTGTCAACATTTCAAAGTTAGAGGACGATGAACAGATATGTGGCGGGTCTAAAATGAAACAGAAAAACTTTCCGGCCCAAATACTGGTTCAACCCTTGTGGTCTTGATACAGGGAACTAGGCATGTGACAATTTTTAAGCAAACAATTGTATTTTTCTGGTCCCATATATTGGTCTATGATATGGAGCAGTACATTGGTTTTGAATCATTACTGTTTCAAATTTGGGTGTAACCATGTATTCATTTTCTTTAATTTTTTTTAAATGCTGTTCCTTTCTGGAATTTTATGGTTGATTTCATATGATAGTTTATTGCATGGCATTTAGTTTTCCTTGTTTTTTCATTTCTGTGACCAGCCTGCCAGTAGCAAGATTGCTTATCTCTGGAGTCGCTAATTGCACTGTGTATTACGGTCCCATATTCCCTGTCTAATCTTCAGGTCAATATGTAAGCTTGTTTTGAGCAAAAAAATATTAATGAAGTTACTCTGTACTGGTTTATAATAGGAAAAATACTATATGTAGCTGGATACAGCAATGCCTGAGCTGTTTTAATTGCTGAGTATATAGGAAAATACTATAATAGGAAAAATTGCTGATCTGTTTAATTTGACACCATTATTTTCAATGAAGCCTGCAGAAAGAAAAAAGGATCTGAAGAGAAATCCCAATAAAGGATGGACACATTTGGTAATATCATAAATCAACTTGGAGATGAAACCTATATCCTAATCTGAACGCTTGGGGTGGTAATTGAGGTGACTTGAGAACTTAGCTTGGAATGAGCATATATAAATGGATAATGAAATCATTTGTCTTATTTTTTGGATCTCAAAAGTTTCGTAACAAACTCAAAAAGTGTTACTATTGTCTAATATTTATAGTTGTTTGGTGTTAAGGATGTATGGATTTCTGTCTTACACTTGTCTCTTTATCTTGAAATGTCGAGGTCCTCTGCTGATATTACTCAGCTTAAAGTCATCTAAAGGTGCCCAGAGGGATGAAATCTTTTGCTTGGTGTGTTGGTTATATATATGTTTAATGTAGTTTTAATTTCTCTTATTATGAAACTTAGCTTCCATATGCAGGCCTTGGAATGGGTGGGGGAAAAACTGGCACTGTGGGCTCCCTGTGATTGCAGGTGTTGCAAAGTCAATGGGTATGATTGACAGTTTGGTATAGTCACAACTCCTTTTCTTTCGAGGGACGAGAAGAGCAGTTCCAGGCCCAGGAAAGGGAATCATCTTTAAGAGATAAATGTTGATACACCTGATTGTCATTCCAAAATGACAAATTATTGACTGCCGTTTCCGAGTCTACCCAGTAACAGAGGCATTTAAAACCTGGCTGATGATATTTTACGACAGGTGTTCGTGGTATCTCTGGATATCAATTACGGTGTGTAATTGAAAAAGTAAAAGAGAAATTCTATAACATTGTTTCGTATACTAGGAGCCATATTATTGCTTAGCAACTCTTTTCTAACTTCATGGTTCATGGTATTGAACCATTCCTTCCTAGAGTTTTACTGGTGGTCCTCTGATGGTCTGGCCAAATTGCAATTAGATATGCGGGTTCATGTGAATTACTTTTGTCGTGGAAATAGTTAATATATTTATGAATTTTTTTTGGCAATAAACACCCATCTGCATTTATGCATTGGAACTTCCTCTGAATAACATTGGATGCATATACTTCAAAATATTGTGCATTCTCTGATTTATCGTCTATTGTTTTAAATAAATGAGAGAGTAAGTTTTCATGCTGAATAATCAATGCAATATTTTTGACGCTTTGGAAACTATCCTTTGAACTCTAATCAGTGGGGTAGGTTTGGTTGGGGGAATTGCAGATTCCAGGTTTGGTAAATGTGGAATTTTGCTGATGTGCGAGTATATGGCAAATGCTGGATTCTTCATTGATGGAAGGACTTGCAACTGGTAATTTTAACTACTTGTTCACACTTTTACCTTTCCTTTTTCACTTTGTATTCCCAATGAATTTAAACAATTTGGCCCTCTTACATGAAGAGACTTGTTCAAAAACTTGGAGCTGACCCTGATGTAAAAAATTGAGATATTCCTTTGCCAAGGAAACAAAGCAAGTGGTTGCCTATGCTCAGCAGCTTATATATTTAATCACTGTTTGAAAAAAGAGATTGTGGGGTTGGGTGGGGTGTAACTTCAGCTTATTCTACTTTCCCATATTTTTTTCATTGGAGGCTTAAGTATCATGTTGATTAACTGACAATAGCCAATAGTCTAGTGTATAGTTCATAATTCATTTTATAAAAATTAGGAAAAAAGTCATTATTAACAATTTACAGGTGTGTACTGTAAACTACAGTTAAAAATATCGAAGTTGGTAAACTAATAGTCTCAAATGGACAAGTAGTCAAGTACATGATTTTATTGGCCACACATGAGGTTTAAGGGCTGAATAGCTGGAAGTTTCAAAGTTCAGAGCGTAAATATAGTATTTCCTAAATGATCAAGAGGCTAAAACTGCTTAAGATTCAGAAATTTGTACTAGGTACTTTGCAGAATACTGGAAAAAAGATAGATTTATTTCCTGCTATTTCAATTGTTTTTTTCTGATTGGATGTTCATGTAAACATTTATGAAGGAAACAAAAACAATAAGCACACCTTTTTGCTTTGTTCATTTTCACCGGTATTATGTAAATCATGATGCCAATTTCTTTGTTTTCTGTGTTTTGGATTGCCTAAAAAATGGCTCTCTATTTACCAATGTAGTTCTGTCTTGGATTTTCAAGGTTATTGTCATCAAGCATATATTTGGGCATTCCAAAAAAGTTTAATTTCCATTTTTTCGTGTTTCTGTTACAGGGAAAACAAGGGCCAGAGATGCTGCATTAAAATGGCAATTCAATCACCTTTATTGGATATTGGTATAAGAAAGGGCAACTGGAATTGTATGGAACATTACCGGTGGAGTGAATTTGACTTTATTTGAGGTACTTGCTTCTATTTCCACTCTGGTTTGGAGCGGGTGGATTTGCATCTTGTTTTAATGCCTCAATATTATAAATTGTATTTTGAAAAATCATATAGCCTATTACTTGTAATGAAAGCTCATCTGTTTAGGTAATCGAAGAAATTTTCAGCTTTAAAGCTATATTTTTTGGGATTTGTTTTCTCTATATAATGTTGTGGAGAAAAAGCTATCCACTTCTGGCCACTAATTTTGTGAATCAGTTCCTCCCAATACTTATCCTTGCTTAACGAAACTGTTTTTCTCATCACTTCACAGTGAAATTGTAAAAATTTTTTATTGTTGCTCCTGTAACTCCCGCTGTTTGACTGGTGTAACCTTGCCTTTTGTAATTAAACAAGGGGATATTGCAGGGGCATATTTTAGACCAATTTTTCACACTAGTAACTTGCTTGAAGATGTCTAATCCTCAATCTTTCGTATGCTTGTCTACAACTGGGAAAATGTACTGGGTGCATATAGATTTTGGTTTTATTATGGCTTCTGAAACTTGTTTGGTGTCAAGCTAATTGCCATAGAGAATCATAATTTAAGAAGCCAGAAGTGAATTCATAGCTTCTATTGTAGTTTGACCTGTAATAATTTTATTATTTCCAATATTCCTCTGACAAACTGTTGACCAATTCTTCCAGGGTAAGCTGCAGCAGAAGGTTATATACGACCTTGTAGATCCGACTGCAAATTTAATTTTTGAGCAGTGATAGATCCATCACTAAGCGGTCAAGTAAGTCATTGCTTTACCGTAACAGGCTTTGTGCAAACTTTTTAAATCAGAAGATCTTAATCACTGTTTATTTGGGTCCATGAAATGGGCATTAGCTTGGAAAAACTAATTTATGAAGTTTTAACTCTGTTAGTATAGCTTCCAGCATGAATGTCATGGCTCTTCTGATAATCCCAATCAATTTCTACCTCTTTATTTTGTTCCCCTTCTTTTTCCTGTGGTTAACAATTACAAATATCTCCCCCTTTTGGCAATATTTCCCTCAAACTTAAGCTTGCATGGATTTGGGACTGTGGAGTGCTTGACCACCACACCTTGAATTTTACTTGATATCTTACCGTGGACCATTCTTTAACTGCTACTTGATAGAACTTGGGAACTTTTTTTTTTTTGGAGTGAGACCTTGACCTTTTGAAATCCAATTCATATAAGTGGATTTAAAAATTTAAATCGACATGGTTTCATTCAGGTCCGCCATACTCTAATTGCAAAACTGGATTTAAGAGCAAAGAAGGAGAATGAAAGCAGGCCTTCAGGTCTCTCCTCTCTCTCTCTCTCTCACACGGCACGATAACATGTTGCATTGCAATATTTTGCTTATTGATGGTTAAAAATGCAAGCAAGTAACTATCGCCGAAGATGTAACCTTTGGGATAAAATCGGCGACCCTCTTTACTGAAGGTAGTTCAGTGAGATTCCTGAGTTCCTCAAAAAAGAAAGGTCCGCTCCTCGCTATCCAAGAGCTTAATTTATAGTTCCAACAAAATGGTCATGCGAATGTCCCCATTGTAGGGATCTACATTACATTTATGTTTTAGGTATTAGTCACGCGATGCCCTTTTGTGTTTCCTGTCTTTGAGATATGAAGAGTGTAATGCTTTGTTTTAGAATATATAGCATCCCTAATAGTTATACAATGTTGGGGGCCTAAATAGCTAACCAGAAGAAAACAATAATATATAAGAGAGTTATTTCTTTCCAAATATTTAATAATTTATCAGGAAATTTTTCTCAAGATTACAAACTCCTCAGGTCTGGAGTGGCTTGTATGATGTGGTTTCAGCTGTAAGTGGGAGGTAAAAGGCCATTTGTTGAAGTTTACTTTTGTTTTCAAAAGGAAGTGTTATTGAGAAATTAATGTAACAGACCCACAATCTCCAAATTTCGCAGAGGTCCCTGGAAATGAAATGATTTAGAATGCTTGGATCAGAAAATATGGTAGCGGAGCCCTTAGGGACCTTATTAGGCTATTTGAATTATTAAAGGGTTAGAAAGAAGGCATGTTCTTCAAGTTCTGCAAATCCATCGGTTGATCATAACTTTGGAACAATAGATCATCGACGTACAGTCTATTTGACATTTAGAAAAAAAGTAAAATAAATTTGAGAAAATTGTTTTGCCCATCTTAAGCTTTTAATGAAAAAATCAGATGAATTTCAAACTCAAATTAAGGCTCTGTGTCTTTTTACATATTTTCCCAATATTTTAATTTTATGAATAAAAAATAAAATTTAATGTTATATTACTATTAATTAATTATTATTCTTTTTGGTTAGGAGGTAGCTGCTCTTTTCAATGCAGGTTAATCTCCCATTTGAAGAGAGTCCACATCTAATCCTTACTTTTGAATGATAGAGTTTTAAAAGTTTATAGTACTCTTAACAAGTACGCTTCTCGAAATATCAAAATAATATAATATTATTTTAATAACAAAATTCACAAAACAAATAATTAAGTATCCCACCTTTGTTGATTTTTCATTGAAAACAAATATGAAAAAGATTTTTTTTTGTCAATTTTGATTTTTTCCCCTGATAGCGGTGCAAGTTGGTTAGCCTATTCCCGTGAAGGCATGATAGCTGGCCTCAATCGCGGTTTCGGGTCCGATTTCCACCGTGATGGTTCTGATCAATGTTTCTAGTAATATGTGCATTTTGTTAAAATAATAATTCAGTTTTTAGGTTTTAATTCTTCTTTTTGAAAAAATTAATATGAGTTTTAAAAATATTGGTAATTTTATTTTAAATAACTTTTAGAATTTTAAGTATTCACATAATAATAAATGAATTAATTAATTTTACAAAATAATCAGATAATAAATTATCATTTTATTTTTGTCTAAATGTATTAATTTAGATTAAATTTGTTAGAAAAATTTTGAAAAATGCTCCTCAAATAATGTAATTTTGAACTAAGTTGGAACATTTAAAAGAAAAGAAATTGAACTAAGTGAACAATTTAAAAGGAAAAGAAAATGTTAAACTCCTATTTGCATCAAACAGTACAATTTTAGACTAAATATTTCACTTTTTTTTTTTACCATTTTACTTTTTAGATTTTTAAAAATAAAGTGTATTTCAAAAAAAAAAAATTCTTAAGTAAAGTGTATCACGGTAAAAGATTATTTAGAATTTTAGAAGTATATAAAATAAGCTAATTGATTATAATTTTGAAAATAAAAATAAAAAATTTTTGGTTCGAATCTAACCAGAACTCCAGTCATTTGCTGATTTCGGTTTAGATTTTAATATTCACATGAACCTTAACTGGCCCTTGAACCGGTGATTCCGGTCTAGTTCCAATTCATTCACAGTGCAATTTGATTTCGATTCAAATTGAACTGGTGGCCATGCCAAATGATAGCAGTTGTCGATTCAAGCATCCATTAAAGCAAGCATAAGTTTTTATAGTTTGATTCAGAAAGAGTCCTATTTGGCGCAACTTGAAATCCATAAAATATAACCTATTAAAAATGAAAGGGAGCAATAATAGGAAGGTTAATTGTTTTGGATGGAAAAGATATAGTGATTGCATCTTCTAGCCATCAATTGGTTTGTTAGACATGTTATTTGATGAAAAAATAACAATGAAAGTGGTAATTTTATTTTCAAAAATAAGATGGATGTTAGACACATGTTATTTGATGGGAAGATAACACTAAAAGAGGATTAGTATTGTGCGATGACATGGGTTAGGGTAAAAAATGTTCAACCATATCCGTCGTGCATGCGTTAAATGAGCAAACACTATGCAAGGATGTTTATGTCCTTAGGCTCAAAGTTGGAATGATAAAAGACTAACAAGATGAGACATGCATGCAAGATGGGAGAAGCATAGAATTGGATTTTTTTTGCATACTTAATGGTTACAATTTGCATGCTGAGATGTTACTGTCAGGAAAAACATGAAAATTTTGGTTTTATGATGGTCATTGTTGGACCCATATAAACTTAATTGGTTGTAAGAGCTTTGAGGATGATTTGTAGGTGCACACTATGGAGAGATTTTCATCCCAACATTCTTTGAGGATTTAAGGGTATAACAAGTCTTAGTTCGTGAGAAAATGGATTGAGAGCCTTATTTTATTCTTGAGCAATTTGAATTATGGATGAGGGTTGAACTAGGTTAGTAAGTTGAAGTAGTGATTGTGTATTGAATTACAATGACAATATGTAAAACTAGATATCAACCTAATATTTGCATTTTCTAGTAGTTCAACCACTAGCTTGAAAAATGGTCGGGCCACAGACATTAATGAAAGAATCGTATTGTGGGATATTCTTGATAGTAATATGAAAGGTAGTATTTTTATGTGGATTATAATTCATATGATAATGGGATGCATGAACGTTAAAGGATATATGTATAAGATGTCATGCTCAGAATGGTAAATTAGACAAGCCAAATTATGCGTTTAGAAAATGTTTGAATTACATACACATTAAAGCATAAAATATGCATTCTAAAAGTCAAAAAATAAAAAAGCATTCATGCTTGTGTTAGGCAAAAAGATTACATGCATATTGATATTTGTGCAAAACAATAAATGTTTGTAGTTTTTTATCATTAAGATGAAGCCTAAAACTTGAATTTTAAATTTTTATTCTGTCATATTTATTAAATAATTCACCTACAATTCATACGGCCAATATAGTCATTTCAAATGGACTACCAAAAGTTGTGTCGGGCATAAATTATGCCAAAACCATTTATTGTTTTAGATATTTGGCACAATTTGTGCTTACCACAACTTGAAATTTGTGAAGTTAAATTATTGATGTAACCCTATGAAAAATGGATGAAAAAAAAATGGTAAGAAGGGTAATTGTTTTGGAAGGAAAAACAAATATAGTGATTGCATCGTCCAGCAACCAATTGGTTTGCTTTGTTTTGTCCCCTAAATAATAATTTTATTTCAAAAATAAGATGGAAGTTAGACACTTATAGTTTAATGAGAAGATAACAATGGAAGAGGTAATTTTATTTTAAAAACAAGATGGATGTTAGATGCTTGTCATTTGATGGGAAGATAACAATGAAAGATGATTAGTATTGTGCAATGGCTTGTGGTTAGGGCAAATGCTCAATCATATCCTTTGGGTATACATCGTCGATGTCATATAATTGTATTAAATGACAAACAGTATGCAAGGATGAATTGCTATTTGATTTCCTTTCTCTTGGCCCGAACTTGCTTTGATTGTAGATCAGCAAGATGAGCCATACATGTAAGACATGAGAATATGAGCTTAGATCTTTTGCGTACTTAATGATTGCAATTTATATGCTAAGATGTTCGTTATTTGTAGAGAAAAATGTGAAAATTTTGGGCTATATGACGGTCATTGCTAGACATAAAAAAAACTATTAATTGGTTGTAAGAGATTTTAGGATGATTTGTAGGTGCACACTATAGAGAGATTTCCATCCCTAGATATTTTTGAGGATTAAGTGTGTAACATAGCAAATCTTAGCTTGTGAGCAAATGAAATAAAAGCATCATTTGGTTCTCATACTATTTGAAATGTAGATGAGGGTTGAACTAAGTTAGTAAATTAGAGTAGTGATTGTGTATTGAATGGCAACAACAACGTATGACACTAGATATCAATCTGACAATTGCATTTTTCAGTAATTCATTCACTAAATTGAAAAATGGACAGGGTTATGAATAACAATAGAAGGATGGCGTTGAGAGATATTTTTGGTTGCGACTTGAAAGGTAGTATTTTTATGTGGATTATAATTTAGAGGATAATGAGATGCATGAACAATAAATGATATGTATGCCATATATTATTCTAAGAACGGTAAAGCCAAATGATGCGAATAGAAGATGTTAAAATTACACATGTATCCTAGCACAAAATTTTCATTCTAAAAGTCAATAAAAAAAATTCATGCTTATGCTGGGCAAACATATTACATGTACATTGATATTTGTGCAAATAATAAATGCTTTATAGGTTCTAATCATTATGGTAACAAAGCGAAGGCCCAAGTTTGAATTCAAATTTTCATTCTCTTTCCTCTTCATTAAACAATTCACCCACAACTAATAACATCAATGTGACCGTTTAAATTGAAGCACCACAAGTTGTGACAGACATAAGTTGTACCAAAACCATTTACTGTTTTATAATCCTTCTATTTAGTACAACTTGTACATGATACAACTTAAAATGTATAAAGTTATTCCACTAATGTAACCCTATGAAAAATGGAGGGAAGAAATTATAAGAAAACTAATTGTCTTGAAAGAAAAAAGATGTAGTAATTGCATCTTCTAACAACCAATTGGTTTCTTTTGTTTTGTCCCTTAAAAGATAATTTTTTTTTAGTTTTTAAAAAAACATGAATGTTGGACATTGTAATTTGATGGGAAGATACCAATTAAAGAAGTAATTTAACAAGATGAATGTTAAACAATTGTCATTTGATTAAAAATAAGAGGTAATTTTATTTCAAACATAAGATAGG